GTAATGTTGATGTAATGATATCCACCTTGCAAAAGCGTTTCAATATGCGGTCTATCCTTGGTGGGACCTTCGAGTTCCTTTTGGATAGGGTCGCATATTGGGCGTGACACTTTTTGAGACAGTCCCAAAACTTTACTTTCCCGATCCCTATGTATTTCCACCCCCAAAACATAAGAGGCTTCCCCCAAATCTTTCATATCAAAAGTAGATGATAACCAAGATTTCACTTCCATTAAAGTTCCCTTATGGTTTGAAGCAATTAAAATGTCATCGACATACAAAGATAATAATGCAAAGTTTCCTCCCACTATTTTGAAATAAATACAGTAGTCTCCTTCCATCATAGAGAAACCGTATGATTTGATTGCAGCATCAAATAAGGTATTCCATTGCCTAGAAGCCTGCCCCAAACCATATATTGATCTTTTCAACTTACATACTTTATTCTGATTTCCTTTTTCCACAAAACCATCTGGTTGTGTCATATCGATTTCCTCTTTTAAATAACCATTTAAAAAGAAGACTTGACATCCATTTGATGGAGATCAAGATCAAAATAAGTAGCTAAGGCACATAAGATGCGAATAGAAGTGAATTTTGCAATAGGAGAAAATGTTTCCACAAAGTCTATTCCTTCCTTTTGTGTATATCCCTTAGCAACTAATCAAGCTTTATATTTTTCCACACCTCCTGAAGCATTGAGTTTCCTTTTGAATATCCATTTAGATCCTCTGGCCTGGCGGTTTTGGGTAAATCAACAAGTTCCCAAACACCATTTCTTTCCATGGAGTTTAGTTCTTCCCGCATAGCTTCCAACCATAGTCCAGATTCCTCACAATCAATGGCCTGTTTGTAAGTTTTAGGTTCTTCCTCTAAAGACACTTTAGAGTGCACTTCCCCTAAAAACACAAAGTAATCATCTAGATAGGATGGTGTTTGTGTGTTCCTCCCACTTCTTCTAGGCATACTAGTTGAAGGAGTTTCTTCCATATTTATGTCAGGGATTTGGCTTGAAAGATTACCATTAGAGTCATTTACTACTTCCTCGAATTCTTCATCTATCAATTCCACTCTAGCCCTCTTAGCACGACGAGGAGTGTCCTGATCTAAAAACAAAGCATCTCTGCTTTCCAATAACTTCTTATTGTTGGGATCATAAAACCTATAACCATTGGAACCATTAGAATATCCAATAAAAATTCCTGGAGTGGTCTTAGGTTGCAGTTTGGTTCTGTTCTGGCTAGGGATTTTAATTTGAGCATTGCAACCCCAAACAGCCAGGTGCCTTAGTGTTGGTTTCCTCCCATTCCAAAGCTCATAGGGAGTTACCTTTATTGATTTTGAGGGTGAATGATTTAATAAATAAACTACAGTATGCAGTGCTTCCCCCAAAAAACTTGAAGGTAAATCTGAGTAAGCCATCATGGATCGAACCATATCCATCAACGTCCTATTTCTTCTTTCCGCTACACCATTTTGTCGGGGTGTGTAGGGTAATATGTAGTGGTGTACTATCCCATGTTCTTTACAGAATTCATCCAAAATTCTGGATGTGTAATCTCCTCCTCTATCGGTCCTAAGGACTTTAATTTTTCCTAGTTAATTGGTTTTCCACTTCAGCCTTGAAAGTTTTGAACATGTCAAAACCCTCAGACTTGTGTTTAAGGAGGTAGACATAACCGTATCGGGAGAAGTCATCAATGAATGTGATAAAATACACCTTCTGTCCTATCGTGGGTGTTGTCATTTCCCCACAAATATCTGAATGAATTATGGCTAAGGGCTCACTAGATCTTTCGGCTTTAGGAAAGGGAGCTCTAGTCATTTTTCCCATGATGCAGGCTTCACAAATTCCATAATCTTCCCATTTAAAATTCAGAATTCCAGAACTAATCAATCTTTTAATCATGTTCCTTGATATATGTCCTAGCCTTAAATGCCATAGGTAGGATTCGGAACAATTGTCATTTCCGGCTATATTCCTCACAGTGGAGTGGTTTTCAGCAACTAGACTGTCCATAGCATCAATATCGGAAATATCTTCAATATAATAGAGGCCTTCTACACGGTTCCCTGATTGTATTGATTTTCCTTTTAGCAATATTTTAACCTTCCCATTGCCAAAGTTAACATCAAAGCCTGCAGATTCTAGTCTAGATACCGATATGAGATTTTTCCTCATATCTGGAGCAAATACAGTATTCTTGAGGAGTAATATTCCTCCACTTGGGAGTCTTAGATTATAGTCCCCAATTCCTAGTATATCTGCATTTGATGTCGTTCCGAGATAAATATATCTAGTTCCCTTTTGTACTGGTTTAAATGAACAGAAAGAATTCCTATCTCTTGCAATGTGTGAGGTGGAGCCAGAATCAACCACCCAACTATTTGACAAGGAAGTTGTAAATGGAGATTCTGAACATACAAAAACATGTGACATACCATCAGGTGAAGAATTTCCCCTTCTATTATCCTGATGCTTGGACTGGTTGTTGTTATACTTCTTATCATCTGGCTTCCTCTTCTTAGTGCACTCAGATTTGAAGTGTCCTTGTTCACCACAATTATGGCAGTTAAATTTCCTCTTGTCAACCTTCTGATTTGAGTTTCTTCCAATGTAATCATTCCTATCATGCTTCTGATTTATTTTATCCCTCAAATCTGTCCCATATTCCCCTTTTGCCAATTCCTCTTGCTTGAAGACTTGTCCTCACCAAGGTGTAGTTCATCATGTTGAGACCTTCTCTCTTTCCCTTGTGTGGACTTCCTGTCTTCTTCCATGAGTAGATGATGCCTAAGCGTCCTCATGTTTAGCACACGCTCAGTATGACAAAAGGATATTTTAAATTGTTCCCAAGAGTTTGGCAAAGAGTTTAGAGCAACCATAACTTGAACTTCTTCAGGGAAAGGGTATCCAGCATTCTTTAGTTCCTCTACTAACACACATAATTTATTCAGATGCGCACTAACAGAAGTGGTTTCTGTCAACTTAGCAGTCAAAAACCGATTCACCAAGCTAAGAACTTTGATAAGTGAAACTTCCCCAAAATCCTTTTCCAATCTCCTCATTATTTTGCTAGTTGATTCCTCTGGTTCATACTCTCCGGCTAGAGAATCAGACATTGATCCAAGCATAAACACTCTGGCCTTTTTGTTGTCCTTAGTCCACTGAGTAATTTCCTCACGGTAGTTTTCCTTTTCCTCATCTTCAACTTCGTCGGATGGACGGGTAGGCTTAGATTGAGTTATGATATAATCAATGTTCTTAGCAGTGAGGAGAAACATAATCTTCCTCTTCCAGACAGTAAAATTTGAACCATCCAATTTACAAGATCTAAGTAACTCAGCAAACACACTGTTGGAAGCCATCAAAGGTGATGATTACCGTGGTAAAAATTCCAAGCAGCACTTGTACTTCCACGCTGACTAGTAGCAGCAAAAATTCCAAACAGCACTTGTACTACTACGTTGATTAGTAGCAGCAAACTCACGTGTGATTTGTAGGTTCCGAGCAGCCGGGAGCAGCTCGTGCATCTTGGCTAGTTGTCGAAGCAGAGGATTTGGAGCAGCAACAAACTCTGCAGGGCTGATTTCCCGGCTGGTTGTAGACGAGCAGCCGGTCACGGCGTGGAGGATGAGGTGGGCGCCGCAACGGGTACGGCGAGGCAGCGGTGGAGACGACGAGAAGTCCGTCGCAGTAGGGACGGCGATGCGGCGGTGGAGACGGCGAGGCTTCCGCCGCGGCAAGGACGGCGAAGCGGCGGTGGAGACGGCGAGGCGGACTCGCAGCGGAGACGGCGAGGCGGCGAGATCGGGCGAGCGAGGGTTTTTTCCGATCGAGCGATTGTGTTCACGAGATCTAGGCGACCCTGTTCCAGACTTTGGGAGGAGTACGCAGCGGAAGTTGTTTCCTCCCAGGAAAATAGCATCAAAGGATGACGTCCTATTTCCTATCTCTAAAAAAGAGATTTTTACGGCCGTCAAAACTTTATGCAACCTGGCTCTGATACCAATGTTGAAAATAACATAGCATGAGTATGTTTGTCTACCCTCCAATTCCCCCGTCAAGTCCGTGGTGCAGCTCACAATGCGTATATGAGGCTAGAGGGTAGGGACATATTTATACTCATATTCCTAAATGTTCAAATCTATATCCAGATAGAATTCAGTTAGACTCCTAATCGAATTAACCAACCACGATCATAACCGATTATTTTCTGAGTCAAATTCCTTCTTATCCCTAAGCATATATATGTGAAATATATGCCACGTTTAAATAGTATATGGTTTCTATTTAAACGTGTAGACTTATCAATCTACAGAGTTGAATATGTATAAATAGCCTAGCAAATTCCAAACCTATATTGTGCCCAGGCAATTAATTCCAGTGTACAAATACACACTGTATTCCAGTATAGTTTGTATCCAGCTCCTTGAGTAAATTTCCTCAAGTTCAACTTCAAATATTTGTACCAATCATTCATACACCAATTCCGTATGATTTCATTCATCAACCAAATAAATGTAGTATATAATGTTTTGGAAGACACCAAAAATTCCTACAAGCACGAGTGCTTGGACCCTGGTGGACTAGAGGTTCCACTGTCCTCCTAACCATACAACCAGTTCATTTTCCGGTCATTGTTAATGCCAACGTTGTCAATGTTTTATGCACCAGCTGAGGTAATTCAGTATTAGATTTTTGGAAGCATCCTAGATCCTTTTCTGTTCATCAAAACATGCTGTGTGCATCACTTTTATTCTTTCAACAAAGAACATTGGTTCGCAATTAGACATGCACAACCCCATATAAGCAAACAATTCCGTAGCTTGGCTAGAATTGAACCAAGGAATGACCAAAGAAAAAAAAAGGCACGCAGTGAAAGAATCGCCAAATTTTACAACATGAACTCGCTTGTAGGTTGAAGCAAACCATTTAGGTCGAGTGATCCGTCACCATGCATGCACGTACGTCCACAGTTGCTGTGCTGCCCCACCTATTAGTAGTGGTTGATTGCGCGGCAGTTCTTCCTGATCTGGCCCTGGTAGCCGGTCTTGACCTCGATGCCGGCCATTTTCACCATGGCCTTCTCGAACCTGTCCTCCCACCACCCAGGGATTTTGGCGTTCTCCACCACCATCCTCGCCGTCTCCATCGACGTCATGAGCGCCGCGTCGGAGGTGAAGAGCACTGTGTGCGATATCACGTTCTTGTAGTACTGCCTGTCCAGCTTGTTGGGCGTCACCACATCCTGCATCACCGTCGGGTCGTTGCCGCCCGGTGTCGCGTCGGCCGGGCACTGCCCCCGCAGGAACGCGGCCAGGCCGCCGTTAATGTCGGAGGGGGTGTTGAGGCGGTCAGAAACGAAGGACGAGCAGTGGGAACGCCCGATGGTGTGCGCGCCGGAGAGGACGACCAGGTCTTCCGTGTTGAGGCCCTTGATGACGAAGCTAGCGACAAGGTCGCTGAGGTTGGACGTCGGCGGGACCAGGAACTTGAGCGGCTCGGAGGCGTTGGAGAAGGTGCCGTCACGGCGGCCGGACGGCATCTCGAAGTCTACCTTGCCCCTGCTGAGGATGCAGGACGCGTCACGGGCCGCGAAGGCAACGATGTCTGCACAGGAGACGACGGCCGGGCAGGCCGCCTCGAGGGCGTCCTTGATGGCGTCAATCAGCTCGAAGCCGCGCAGGGAAGGGTCGTTCGGCGGGCTGAGTTTCTCCGGCGTCGGGCTGAACGGAGTCGGGTCCAGGAGGACGGAAGCATCACAGCCCTAATCATGGACAACTCAATGAGATAATCAAGTCTGGCTAAATGGCTGTAGACATACATATATGTCTGCAAATTCGTTAGTACCTCGACGAAACAGTCATGGAAGAGCATGCGGATCATGGCAGCGCCATTGCCGGGGTTCTGGGAGATGGCCTTCTCCATGACGCCCTTGACGACGGCCTCCGCTTGGGGGCACTTGTCGTGGTAGTAGCCGATCTCCAGTGGCCAGAAAGGGCTGGCCTGGCACCCCACAGCGAGGAGCAGCAAGGCACAAGCCACAAAAACCTGCAGCTTTGCAGCAATAGCCGCCATTCCTATTTCTTCGAAGCTAGCAGTTAGCTTGACTAAGATTAATTGGATATAGGAAGAGAGATCAAGTGTATGCTGCTATATCGGTGGAGTATGCCTGTTGCTACAACTCAAGCTGCTGGAAGCTACTTATATAGGTGGGCACTCGAAGACCTAGCCTTGGCCGAGAATGCACAATTGCACGTATATGTTGGCATGTGCTTAAATAACAATGATTATCTTGGCTTCTTTGGAACGTTACTGCACCGGGTAGGTGCCACCAATCGTCACTGAATTCGCTCATTGAACTCCTCCAACCCAGTGGCACCGAAAACTAATCAAAGAGCCTCTTCGGTAATGACATTTTTCCGAAAAGGATGAATCATTATCATGAATCTAATGATATGATACATAAATAGGATATTTTGTACTAACAAACAGCTAGCAGTACTAACCCTGATGGTTACATGCGGTTGACTCGACTGATTTAGTGATGTATGAACCGGTAATATACATAAGCTGGAGCTAGCTGTTTCGTAGTACTAGAGTGCAAGCGGACGCGTCCGCGACGTCTGAAAGCGTCAGCGAAACTGAAAAATAAGCTAATCATGGTTACTTCAACAATCATGGTAATACAAAAAATGATCAACGCGACTTCGCGGACGCCTCTGGCTGCATCCCTATAGCCAGCTCCGTGTTTCTTTCTTTCATGTTTTGTGTATACAATACAATATGATCCACCATACCAGTGGCGAGTAATGCTACACACACACGGGCACTTCACGGGGCTTTACGGGCTAATTTGAAATTAGTGGTTGTGATTTAGTTAAGTAGGACGGGGCCCACACTTAAAA